GTACAAATTAAGTATCAGTAATTATATTATAAAACCAAAATCTAGATCTATAAAACCATTTTGTTATTTATTTATTAATTAATTGCAAGCACAAAAAACTTTTTTGCACATTTATTGCAAGCACAAATCCCTAAAGTGGTATTGCCGTATATAATAAGCATTGCACTATTACAAACTAAAGTGACCAAAAGGGATTAAATGTGAGCAAACCAATATAAAAATAGTCCATAGTGAGTGAATCATAAATTGCCAGTATCCTTTACGGAGAGCGTACCAAAAATTTCTCTCCTCATCCAACATCACCAGTGTCACCCGTCACCACAGCAAAGGCAAGATGTGAGCTTACCAAACAGAAAGACCCCCTTATTCAGAGTAGTCCCTAAACGTTTTAAATGCTCAGCCTCAGTGGCAACTCTCCACACAAATCTCAATGCTGTTCCTCTCCACCGCTCCTCAGATGGATGGTAAATGCAGCACAGGCAAGTAAAGTCATGTAAAGATAGGCAGATAAACACTTCTCATAGTGTAATCATCATCAACACCATTTATTAGACATAAAACCGCATTTACAAACATGAAAAAACATGTGCATATCGATATATTCACCAAGCCAGCAACAGCTTTTGGTTCACTTCCTTACGTGATGATGTCACAGGGGAGGCTCCCGGTGGGGATGACTTCACGGGGGAGGTGTTAGTGCAACAGCTATAGAATCTGAAAGCGAATTTTCTTCACCCAAAAAACTAACCCTTCCCTAAATCTGTCCCTTAAAGTGGTTCTAAAACCTAAACATTTTTTAGGTAGTAGTATTCTCCCTCAACCCACCCTTATACTTACCTGATTCCTCACTCGATCCAGCTCTGTGCCCGTCTGTAGTAGCTCTCCCCACTCTTTCAGGTTTCAATCAAATCCTGTGATGAGGGAGTTGGGGGTGGGGCCAATCCATGCTTTCTATCTCTATAGGAGTGAGCCCGCAGGTGTGCCCCCATAGCAGGCAGCTTGCTATGGGGGCACACCAAAAAGAGGAGGAGCGAGGAGCACCAGCAGGGGATCTGGAAAGAAGAGGTTTGGGGCCTTTCTGTGTACTTCCATTACACAGAGCAGGTTATTATAAACCTGGGTTTTTTTTTAAACAAGAAAATTGTGTTTACAATCACTTTACCATAAATATACGCTCTAGCTGGATGATAATTTAGTTTTCTACAGTACTGGCCATCAAAAATAATTGTCATGTTTGTTTTCTTACAGAGATGTAAAACTTCTGGAAATTTCGAAGCCATGAAAAAAAAACAATTTTTTTTCCTGGAAAAAATGGAAATTTTCGGAAAAAGTTAAAAAAAATCAGTGTGGAGTAATGCAGGCCATAGATGGTTCGTTTATGGGACGATTTTTCGTCTGAATGAATAATAGGCCGATTTTCGCACTGTTAGTGGGGCAATGGCATCAGCCGATTTTCGCGGTTCCTCCTCATTTCTTGTACAGTCATGTGGGAAAATTTGAGAAAAACGGCCGATTTTCGCAATCATTGCTGGCAACAGAACAACCGATGTTTCGTTTTTTGGATGAATGATCGGCCGATAAACGAACCGTCTATGGCCTGCATAATTTTACATATTGAAAGCCATTTTCAGTTATTGACAATGCAGATCCAGAAGCACCTTGATCAATTTTCTCCTTTTTGGGAGTCCATGGTTTGCAACACTTCCTTCTACTTGAAGATGCTGCTTTTGAAGAAACACTTTGTGATGATCCAGAATCAACAGAAAGCGCGTTTTCTGGAATGAGAACCTTGGAGGGAAAATCTACTTGCACTTTCATTCTGGTCCTCATCATTTAGTTACGTAAAGTATTTTTTACATTTTGTATTTTTGAAAGTTTTTCTTTTTCAAGTATTACAGCAAGAGAAAAAAAGGAAAAACAGTAAAACAGACCAAAAAGTATTTTTCAATGTCTTTAGGGCTCCTCTGGCATGCCAGGATGTTTTGCCATCCTTGTAGCATTTCGAAAAGAATATTTCTTACAATATTTGCAAATTGCAGGCTTTGCTCTCAGTAGCAATTGCACTGTGGAAATGTTTCCAAACTCTAGATGTTGGCCTCACCATTTTACTGAGAGGAGGAAAAAAACTATTTGCTGACCAGACTATAGGTAAACATTATGATGTGATGGTGGAGAATATTAATAGGAATCATTAAAGGGTTATAAAGATAAACTCATTTGTCATACACATTTACCCTCTTACCTGTAAAGTAAGGTCTAAGAGGACAATAACTATTGTCTACTGTATGCAAACAATCACCCAACTGTAGGAGGTGCAAGATGGAACCCACAAGCAAACTAAACTGGAGCCTTTCCCCAGCAGTGCCCCACTTTCCCCACACAGCTCCAAAATGAGTGCACTGCTTACCATTGTTCCTTTACAACAAAATGTTTGAATGGATAGATAGATAGATAGATAGATAGATAGATAGATAGATAGATAGATAGATAGGTAGGGGGAATTTGCACTCCAGGCCAGTAGAAATAATGAATTTTCCCACATGGAAGAAAAACATATTTGAAATATAAAGGATAATAAAATATATAGTAAGCGCTCATCAACAGTTACAGCAGCTGAACATTAAAGGAAAACGCATAAAAAGTCCCAAAATTCATATATATAAAAAAATGCAGCGCTCTTAGAAAATGATGAAAAATATTAATGAAACACAGTCCAGTGAAAAAAGTGCTCCGTGATTCCCAGTGCAAATGGTAAAAAATCACACTAACCAGAAAGCGTATAAATAATACGCGTGTGTATATATATCCTGAAGACTCCCCTCTCCTCTCAGGTCTGGTCAAAGAAATAGCTGGGAAAGATGGAAATCCTACGCCCTCATGTGGTGAAAGAATGGTCCAGCAGGTCAGAGAAGTATCAATCTGGATAAGCCTTCCCCTTCACAGGAGCTGACACAGGGATCACTTAGGGCATAAATGATTCATGACCTCCTTCCAGCAGATCCTCCAATTCATAGGTGCCACCTGACACTATCGCCACCATACAGCTGCCTGCAAGGGGGTCTGGCTGCAGACTGGAGCTCCACTTTCGACAGCCAGCAGATCCTCCAATTCATAGGTGCCACCCGACACTATCGCCACCATACAGCTGCCTGCAAGGGGGTCTGGCTGCAGACTGGAGCTCCACTTTCGACAGCTAGCTAGCTGTTGAAAGTGGAGCTCCAGTCTGCAGCCAGACCCCCTTGCAGGCAGCTGTATGGTGGCGATAGTGTCGGGTGGCACCTATGAATTGGAGGATCTGCTGGAAGGAGGTCATGAATCATTTATGCCCTAAGTGATCCCTGTGTCAGCTCCTGTGAAGGGGAAGTGTCAGGAATGGACTGGCCAGCAATGGTGGGACTCACCTGCCTTTTGATCTGCAGTACCAGGGCTGGCCAGCGGGTGCTCCCAGCAATCAGAGACTCAACCTTTCAGCCAGCTAACACCTGGAACTGATGATACTGGTGTATTTAAGGGATGGCCAGACTTGCAGACTCTGCCTTGGTGTTGTGTTTGTCCTGGGCCCTGTATCTGTCCTGCATCCTGTTTCTGTTCCTTTGCTGACCCTGCCTGATCTGAACCGCTGCTGACTTCTCCTGCTCTGATCCCGGCTCGCTCCTGACCATCCCTCTGCCTGACTCTCTGTACCACACTGCTTGCTACCTGTTCTGATCCCTGGCTTGTGACCCTGACCATCCCTCTGCCTGACCCTCTGTACTACGCTGCTAGCTACCTGCTGAACCTGGCCTGTGACCCCGACCCATCTCCGCTTGCTCCCCCTGTACCTACCTGCCCTATTGATATTGACCCGGCCTGCCTGACGACGCTTGCTTGTATGTACTGTTATCTGTGGGTGGTTGGTTTGGTTTGTTTGCACTGTATTATGTTTTAGTATTGCACTGCGTTTATGTTTGTATGGTTAGTGTTAATAAATTACATTGTTTATAACATATCTGAAGTCTGCGTTTCCCTGCGTCAGTCACACACCTCTGGTCACACCTGGGAGCCCTGACATTTTATCTCTGCTAGTGCTTGATGACAGAAAAAATATGCTTATCAGACTCTGAAGGAGTATAACCGGGATGAACTGCTAGAATGTATACGGCTCGCTCATGTTCTAGTAGATCAGGGCACAGATTTCTCTATGGTGCAGCCATTGATTAAGGTTTGTGTTGAGTTGGTTTCATCTGGTTCCCCCAAATGCAGGGATGAATTTTTGCCACCATTTAGTGCAGACCAGGTAGAGTCCCTGGTGTGGTTATTAGAGGATGATGTGGGTTACTTTTCTGGAGCGTTATTCCACATGTTCACCACAGACACTAAGAGATTGTATAAACGCAGTGCAGTCTTTGGTCAGACAGGCTTTGTGTAAGCTCAGCTTTGTTCAACCCATACTGCAGACATGGACAGATTTGTTACACCCAGCCTCAGTCAGCATACAAAGACCCAGTCCTGCTTCTAATCTATTTCCTCAAAGCTCTACTCCTGTATTCCCAACAACTCCCCCAGTTACAGCCCAGTATACTTGGCTATCTACCGCATGCAGTACCCCTGTTCCCACTCGCTGCACCTATCCTTCCCTGCCTTTAACCCTGTAAAAAAAAGCCCTCTGTAGCAACTGCTCCCTCTCCTGTTCCATCCTCCAGTTCTTCTCTGTCTCCAGCTGCTCCATTCGTTTGCAGACCTGCGTTTACTTGCAGTGCTCCAGTAGTTAAAACCAGAAAAAAGCGAAAATTCTTTCCAACCAGTACCATCCTGCCAGTATCCAAACCGATGAACCTGCCTTCCGTGGTTCAGCCTGAAGCCTCTACTCAGCCTGAATCCTCTACTCAGCCTGATGCCTGTACTCAGCCTGATGCCTGTACTCAGCCTGATGCCTGTACGCAGCCTGATGCCTGTACGCAGCCTGATGCCTGTACGCAGCCTGATGCCTCTCTTCTGCCTGAAGCCTCTACTCGGCCTGATGCCTCTACTCGGCCTGAAGCCTCTACTCGGCCTGAAGCCTCTACTCGGCTGATGCCTCTACTCGGCCTGGAGCCTCTACTCGGCCTGGAGCCTCTACTCCGGCCTGGAGCCTCTACTCGGCCTGAAGCCTCTACTCAGCCGGACGCCGGCATTCAGCCTGATGCCTCTACCCAGCATGATGAACTGATCCAGCCTGATGATCCTATTAGGCCAGTTGACTCGATGCCCGCTGTTGATCCAGATGATCCGGTACCTGATCCAGTGCCCGCTATCGTGCCAATTGACTCAGAGCCCGCTGTCGTACCTGGTGACTCGGTGCCCACTGCCTTGCCAGATGACGCGGTGCCCGCTGGCGAGCCAAATGACCTGATGCCTGGTGACCCAGGGCCCGCTGTCATAACTGGTGACCCGATGCCCGCTGTCGAGCCAGACGATCCAATGCCTGGTGACCCGGTGCCCGCTGTCAAGCCAGACAATCCGGTATCTGATGACCCAGTGCCCGCGGTCATACCAGTTGACTCGGAGCCCACTGCCTTGCCAGATGACGCGGTGCCCGCTGTCGAGCCAAATGACCTGATGCCTGGTGACCCAGTGCCCGCTGTCATACCTGGTGACCCGATATAGATGCCCGCTGTCGAGCCAGACAATCCGGTACCTGATGACCCGGTGCCCACTGTCGTGCCTGTTGACTCGGAGCCCACTGCCTTGCCAGATGACGCGGTGCCTGCTGTCGAGCCAAATGACCTGATGCCTGGTGACCCGATGCCCTGCTGTCCAGCCAGACGATCCAATGTCTGACCCAGTGCCAGCGGTCCATGCCAGTTGACTCGGAGCCCACTGTCGTGCCTGGTGACTCGGTGCCCGCCGCTTCGCCTGGGGGCCCGAGGCCTGTCGCTCCGCCTGGGGGTCCGGCGCCCGCCGCTCCGCCTGGGGGTCCGGCGCCCCGCCTGGGGGCCCGAGACCTGTCGCTCCGCCTGAGGGCCCGAGACCTGTCGCTCCACCTGGGGGGGTCCGGCGCCCGCCGCTCCGCCTGAGGGCCCGAGACCTGTCGCTCCGCCTGGGGGTCTGGCGCCCGCCGCTGCCGCCTGAGGGCCCGAGACCTGTCGCTCCACCTGGGGGTCCGGCGCCCCGCCGCTCCGCCTGAGGGCCCGAGACCTGTCGCTCCACCTGGGGGTCCGGCGCCCGCCGCTCTGCCTGAGGGTCCGATGCCTGTCGCCCCCCGCCTGGGGGCCCGGTGCCTGCCGCCCCGCCCGGGGGGCCCGGTGCCTGTTGCCCCCCCGCCCGGGGGCCCGCTGCCTGCTGCTCCGCCCGGGGGCCCGGTGCCTGCTGCTCCGCCTGGTGGCCCGCTGCCTGCTGCTTCGCCTGGTAATCCGATGTGCCTCTGCCCGGAAGTCCTGCCCGATGTGCCTCTGCCCGGAGTCCTGCCCGATGTGCCTCTGCCCGGAGTCCTGCCCGATGTGCCTCTGTCCGGAGTCCTGCCCGATGTGCCTCTGCCCGGAGTCCTGCCCGATGTGCCTCTGCCCGGAGTCCAGCCCGATGTGCCTCTGCTCGGAGTCTAGCCCGATGTGCCTCTGCCCGGTGTGCCTCTGCCCGGTGCCTCTGCCCGGTGTGCCTCTGGTGTGCCTCTGCCCGATGTGCCTCTGTGCCTCGGAGTCCAGCCCGGTGTGCCTCTGCCCGGAGTCCAGCCCGGTGTGCCTCTGCCCGGAAGTCCAGCCCGGTGTGCCTCTGCCCGGAGTCCAGCCCGGTGCCGCTGCCCGGAAGTCCTGCCCGGTGTGCCGCTGCCCGGAGTCCTGCCCGGTGTGCCAGTCTTTGATATCCCGCCAGTTACCAGACCCGGCGGTGGAACATTTTGCCCAGCTAGGACTGTTTGGAGCGTCCTGAGGCCGCTCCTTGAGGGGGGGTACTGTCAGGAATGAACTGGCCAGCAATGGTGGGACTCACCTGCCTTTTGATCTGCAGTACCAGGGCTGGCCAGCGGGTGCTCCCAGCAATCAGAGACTCAACCTTTCAGCCAGCTAACACCTGGAACTGATGATACTGGTGTATTTAAGGGATGGCCAGACTTGCAGACTCTGCCTTGGAGTTGTGTTTTGTCCTGGGCCCTGTATCTGTCCTGCATCCTGTTTCTGTTCCTTTGCTGACCCTGCCTGATCTGAACCGCTGCTGACTTCTGCTCTGATTCCGGCTCGCTCCTGACCATCCCCTCTGCCTGACCCTCTGTACCAACACGCTGCTTGCTACCTGTTCTGATCCCTGGCTTGTGGCCCTGACCATCCCTCTGCCTGACCCTCTGTACTAAACGCTGCTAGCTACCTGCTGAAACCTGGCCTGTGACCCCGACCCATCTCCTCTTGCTCCCCCTGTACCTACCTGCCCTATTGATATTGACCCGGCCTGCCCCTGACGACGCTTGCTTGTATGTACTGTTATCTGTGGGTGGTTGGTTGGGTTGTTTTGCACTGTATTATGTTTTAGTATTGCACTGCGTTTATGTTTGTATGGTTAGTGTTAATAATAAATTATATTGTTTATCACATATCTGAAGTCTGCGTTTCCCTGCGTCAGTCACACAACCCTCTGGTCACACCTGGGGAGCCCTGACAGGAAGGCTTATCCAGATTGATACTTCTCTGACCTGCTGGACCATTCTTTCACCACATGAGGGCGTAGGATTTCCATCATTCCCAGCTATTTCTTTGACCAGACCTGAGAGGAGAGAGGGGAGTCTTCAGGATATATATATCACACTGTATTATTTATACGCTTTCTGGTTAGTGTGAATTTTTTAACCATTATAGCACTGAGAATCACGGAGTCAACTTTTTTCACTGGACTGTGTTTTCATTAATAGTTTCATCAGTTTCTTCTAAGAGGCTGCATTTTTTTATTTATATTTTGAAATATATTATAAAATATTCTTTTAACAAAATACAGATCATACATTTTTGAATCATTTAAGAAAATATAGTACAGAAATATGTGTTAAAGTGACATTTTTTTATATGTTTAACAAAAAAAAATCTGAAGAATATATTTTAAAAATATGTTTTTAAAAAAAAATATTTTTTAAATATATTTAAGATGAGTCGAATCGAAGTCCCGAAGTGGAATTCGAGTCGCATATCGGTAAAAATTTTCGATTCCGCGCCGAATCCGAAAAAAAGCCTACTATCCGGACGCTCTGAATCGAAATTTTTCCGAAAATGGCGGCGGACATGT